CTCTCGCGCTCGCTGTCTACCGCGCTCGCTCTCGCGCTCGCTGTCTACCGCGCTCGCTCTCGCGCTCGCTGTCGCTGTCTACCGCGCCCGCTCTCGCAGTCTACCGCGCCCGCGCTCGCTCTCGCAGTCTACCGCGCTCGCTCTCGCAGTCTACCGCGCTCGCTCTCGCAGTCTACCGCGCCCGCGCTCGCGCTCGCTCTCTACCGCGCCCGCGCTCACTCTCACTCTCGCTCTCTACCGCGCCCGCTCCCGCTCTCGCTCTCTACCGCACTCGCTCTCGCTCCCTGCCCCCGCGCTGGCACGCTCGCTCCCTGCCCCCGCGCTCGCTCTCACTCTACCTGGATACAGTGGCTTGTTCTGGCTTCATCACAATGGAATTAATCATGACTGGGGCTCTCAGAGAAACTTACTTTTGGGCACCAAGAGTAAAGGGCTTGTCCTATGATGAGTAAATGGTGTTTGATATTTATTTATTTATTGGCACGTGTACGAAAATACAGTGAAAGGCTTTGTTTATGAGCGGTACAGGCAGATCAGAGTAAGCAAGTGATGTACAGATCAAAAAGACTTAGACAGAGGCACAGAGGTTACATTGCACAGGGCATGCGTTCGGCAAGATCAAAGTTAACAAGAACAGCATTATTTAAGGCTAGAGAGTCCATTCATCAGTCTGATAACGGCCGGGAAGAAGCTGTTCCTGAGTCTGCTAGTCCAAGCTTCTGTATCTTCTGCCTGATGGAAGAGGTTATAGGAGAACATTCCCAGGGTGCGATGGGTCTTTGATGATATTGGCCGCCTTTCCGCAGCAGTGAGCCGTGTAAATGGAGTCCATGGATGGAAGGTTGGCCTCCATGATGGTCTGGGCTGTGCACATCCACCTTCTGTAGTTTCTTACAGTCCTGGGCAGAGCAGCTGCTATACCAGGCCGTTATGCACCCGGACAGTATGGTTTCAATGGTGCATCTGTAGGAGTTGGTGAGGGACCTTATGGACATAGCAAATTTCCTGAGCCGTCTGAGGAAGAGGCGTTGTTGTGCCTTCTTGACTGTTGCATCTACGTGGGAAGTCCAGGTCAGGTCGTCGGTTATCGTCACTCCGGGGGGACTTGAAGCACTCCACCCTCTCAGCCTCAGTTCAGTTGATGTCGATGGGGGCGTGTTCTCCTCCTTTCTTCCTGAACTCAGTGATCGGATCTTTAGTTTTGCTGACATTGTGAGACAGATTGTTTTCATTGTACCACATCACTAAGCCCTCTATCTCCCTTCTGTAGTTTGACTCGTCTTTGTTAGATATCTATCCCACTACGGTGTGTTGTCAGCAAACTTGTAGATGGCATTTTTTTGGAATTTGGCAACACAGTCATACATGTACAGGGAGTACAGCAGGGGGTTGAGGACGCATTCTTGGGGGGCTCCAGTGTTGAGTGTTATTGTGGAGGAGGTGCAGTTACCTATCCTGTTTGATTGTGGCCCATGGTTCAGAAAGCTGAGGATCCAGTTGCAGAGGGTGGAGCTGAGACCACAGTTTTGAGATCAGTCTGGAGGGGATAATGATGTTGAAGGCAGAGCTGTAGTCAATGAGCAGGAGCCTGGGGTAGGTGTCTTTGTTGTTCAGGTGTTCCAGAGATGAGTACAGGGCTAGGGATATGGCATTCCCTGTGGATCTGGAGTTTAGAAGAATGAAAGGTGATCTGATTGACAGGTCTGAAGGGGTTCTGAGAAGGCAGCTATTTAGATATTGTTTAGAAGGTAGCACCTGGGAACCAGATTAGGGAGCAATCGCTTTGGATGGAGATAAGGGGAACCGCCTTTCCTCATTGAGTCATGAATCTTTGGAACCTCTCCACTGGGGTGGAGATGGGAGATGGGTTTTGGCCTTTCAGAGAATGGAGGAATGTGGTGAGTGTGTGGGGAAGTGGAGTTGAGGCTGGTAATCAGCTGAGAGTGTCATGAATGGCAGAGTAAACCCAAGCGGCTGGATGGTCTGTACATGCTCCTATTACTTTCTATCCAGCTGCTTTCCAGTTTCTGTTTGAAAGCTGAATGCTTGGCCATCGAGCTGATAAATATTTAGCAGTGTTGAAAATATAAAGTTCAGATCTGTGCTGTGAGGATCACAGTACTGCCTGTTATTCTGCATAGACTGAATTATTGCTTCATGGAATCACGCAGCACAGGGGGCCATTCGGCCCAGTGGTCTGTGCTAGTTCTCTGAAAAAGCTAGCCAGTTAATCCCACTCCACCTGCTGCTTCCCCACTGGCCGCAAAATGTTTCTTTGTTGAGTGTTTCTCTGGTTTCTTTTTGAACATTATTGCTGAATCTGCTTCCACTGCCATTTTAGGCACATATCCCCGATTACGATCAACACTCTGCATCAAACAAATCTCCATATGCCCTCCCTAGTTCCTTTACTAATTTCTATATGTTTGTGTTCTCCTCTTTCTGACCCTCTCCTGCCAGTAGAAGAGCTCCTGTTTGTTCAAAGTCACTGCTAATTGTGAACCTCTCTGTTAAATCTACCTTTGAACCCTGCTCATAACGGAAACACTCAGTTCCCCCTCGACACATAACTGAGATTTGCTTTTGGAATGTTTTATTGAGATGT